AATAAAAATTAATTATCTAAATATTAATTACGTGAAAATTTTATTGTTATATATATAAAATTTTCTCTTACAAATATAAATTATAAATACTATGTAAATTAAATTCTATTGTATATAAAATATCTTTTTCTTACTGGTAACAAATCTTTTTCCAGTTGATTTTTTTACTAATCTTTCGACAATTTTCCTGAATTTTTTTTTTCTTTTTTGTTTAAAAAAAAAAAAATATCTTACTTTTTTTTTTTTTTTTTTTTGTATTTTTTTTTTTTTTTTTTAAATTGTAATTAATTTATTTCACTTTTAAATATGCTATTTATAAGATTTTTTATTATAATTTCTTAAAAATAAATACCTATCTTCACTTTTTCTTTTGAATTTAAGTACTTAATAAATTTTTTCTATTTTTTTTCAAATAGTTGAAAAAGTAATTTTTTTTAAATAATAGTTATAACAAAAATAAATATATACTTATATTGTATAAATATTTATCAATAATAAAATTAAAAAAAAAAGAATTAAAATAAAAAAAGGTATATAAGAAAAATCAAAAAAGTTTAATTTAAAAGAAAAATATACACAATCAAAAATTAGTTTCATATTAAGTGAAAAATTGTCATAAATGTAGTATACTGTATGAAAGATACATACGTATAAAAATTTTTAATTTATAGAGTTTTATTTCTTTTTTTGATAGAGATATATCTCTATAATATACGAAGATTTATGTTTATAAATCATAATATACCGTATATAAAATAATTTAAAGTTCGACATAATTCACAGAGATTAGTAATTTAGAAAAAAAAATTAAAAAAAATCCTTTAACATTAAATGTATATCATATATAATTTTTATGTGAATTAAATTAAAAATATTCAATTTTTTTACATAATTTAAAGATAATTAAAATTATAATAAAATATTTTTAAAAAAACTTTATCCGATTTATTATATTTTTTATATATTTGTTAATTAACATTCTTATTTTTTTTTTTAAAGAATTAAGAATAATATTCCTATCTAAAGTAACCATAATATCATATGTAATGATATAAAATTAGAAATTACATTTTATATATGAAAATAATTTTCTATTTTAAAGATTTAAGAAATTAATAGAAGTTATAATAACATCTAAATTAATATTACAAATCCATAATTTAGCATTATTGAAAATTGAAACAATTTTACACCTGAATTAACAACTTTCACTTCAATATTATTCTATAAATATATTAATATGAAAACGTTAACTTTATATTTAAAAATTAGTACATTCCTTCTTTTAATTTGGATGTATCAATGTTTTTATAACGTAAGTTAAAATATTTACAAAAAATATACATATAGATATATTTTATTTCTAATTATTTTTAAAATTTCATTTGATTTTCTATTCTAACAAAAGAAACATTCTTTTAAAAAATTTTTATTTAATCCATAGTGTGATTCCTATAAAACATTGATTGATAAATATATATTGCAAACAAAAAATGAGTTAAAATATGAAAGAATATTAACAGAGGGTAACACAGAAAGAAAAGAGCAAACAAACACTCAAGGAGGTCTAAAAGAATGTCCATTAAATAATGAAAAAAAAGGAAGTATGGATCCGGATAAATACAAGAATCCGTACAATTATTGGTTTAAGTTCAAGCTTCCAAAATATTGGGATCGATTTAAAAATGAGACAAGTGGAATGGACCAAGAATGGATACAAAAAAAATGGAATGTTGATTTTCAGATATTTTCAAATAAGAAATTTAATGATCTATTATATCCAATAATTCGTAGTAATATTCCAGATAAACAAAAAAAGGAAAACATTGATAGTTTTATGAATGAATTTGACTTAGAATTTGATATATTTTTATTCGAATGTAAGAACAATATGGCACACAATAAAACAAAATACAAATCTAAGAAAGATATGACAAACAATGAAACAGAATCCGAATCTAAGAATGAGATGACAGACAATAAAATAGAATCCGAATATATGAAAGACATGACAGACAATAAAACAGAATCTGAATCTAATAAAGATATGAGAGAGAATATAACATAATCCGAATTTTAGAAAGAACATGGAAAAAATGAAATAAAAAATTATAAATTAAAAATTTGGAAATTGCTTATTGTTTTGATAATCTTAAGGAGAATAAAAATTAATGGTTAAACAGAGAATATAGGATTAGTCATGCACAGGATCTAGTTAAAGAAAAGAAAAATTAATATTTTGTTTAAATATTTTTTATAGAAATACATTTTATTTTTTAAAAAAAAAAAAAATTAAAAGAGAAAAATTTTTTAGAAAGAAAAAATTTCATAAGAATATTTTTTAATTTTTAAGAATAAAATTTTCGTTAAGTGATATTAATATAATTAAAATTTTTTTTTATTATTTATGTATTTTTATTATTTTTAAAAACAGTGAACTTATATTACTGAAAATTACTTATATAAAGCAATAATTATTTTGTACTTAAAAATTAATAATTAATGAGAATATATGTTTTTAATAAAAATACATATTTTTATCAAAGTAAATTCACAATGAACCGCATTATTGTAGTTTATTTGTTTATATCATTAAAATTATATTTAAAATACATTTAATTACTAGAGAAAACTCCATATTCTCTTTAATAATTTGTTTTTCATTACTCTAGCAAATTCACTTAATGATAATTTAATAAATTAAAAATGTAATTTATGGAAAGTAAATAAATCAGATAGTAAATGTAGAGGATAAAATAGAAGAAAAAAAGTTGGATGCAGAACTATTACCAGCTTACTTACATGACAAAAAAAGGACACAAAAAGGATAAAAAAAAAAAGTCTTTATTGAGAATTATTAGAGTTAAAGATTTGTTAATACAAAAAATTATTAGCGTTTTTGAGAAAACAATTAAAAGCTGTATGGAAAATAAAAAGACATGAATGTACTAGATAAATGAAGATAAAATGAATTGTATAGTGTGAATAAAATATTCAAGTTATTAAAAAATAGAAGAAAACTTGATAAGAAGTTTTTTCGTGGAAAATTTTTATCTTTGAATTTTAGAGAGAAAATTTTATATTAACAATAATAAAATTTTCGCGTTTGTAATATTGTATAACTTATTTTGTGTTTTGTTATTTATATTTGTTAATTCGCGAGAAGTGAATTTGAATTGTTAAACGTTAATGATAACATTAAAGTAAAATATATGTAATTTAAAACTATAATTAATAAAGATTTAAATTTCTAATAAAAATAGGGATTTTTATTAATATAATTAAATTCCTCTTAAAAATAATAAAAGCTCAATGAAAGAGACCATATACATTTGGCTTATCAACTGGGTGTTCTGGGACTTTATTATAGTACTGAACAAACCAATTAATAAAGAGCATTTAGAGATGTGTCTACGATTTTTGTATATTTGTATATATTTTTATTTTGCTTTGAACGAGTGATCTTTAATTATAATCTACTTCGTTTAGCATTCTTTTATTTCAATAGGCATTTATTTACTTTAATAAAAATCCTTATTTTTATTAAAAATTTAAATACTTATTTAACATTAATTATTAATTAATTATAATTACTAGTTTATTTATTATGAGTTATATTCAGCAATTATTTTATATTGCTGTTGATTTAACAAACATAAATAATTATTAACAAAAACAAAATAAAATATATAAATATTAATTACATGAAAATTTTATTATCTGTATAAAATTTTCTTTTTACAAAATTCATCATCAAAATATTTCATTTAATTCCTCACTAAAAAAAAAAATTTCTTTCTTTTTTTTTTTTTTTTTATTTCCTTTTATTTTTTTATATTCAAAAAAAAAATTGATTTTTTTTTTTAATCAAATTTTCCTGACTATTTTTACATTTTTTTTATCAAACATTTTTTTCCTTACATTCTTTGTACTTTCTTTTTAAAAAGTACAAACAAAAAAAAATCATCAATTTTTTTTATTTTTGTGTTTATATACATGACCAACTTCGTATACTTCATTTAACTAGTCCTTTTATTTTTCAAAAAGGTTAATGAAGCCTTTTATTAACCAACATTTCAGTGGTTTATTGTATTAAAAACATTTTTAAATTCATTTAAATGGTAGAAGAAACTCTACATGCTCGTTGTTAATCCTTTTTTTCAATACTCTAGCAAAGTAATGAATAGGAAATTAATAAACCATTAATTACATTTATTTTACATATATTATAATTTATATTTAACAATTCAAATATATTGCACTCACATTAACTAGCATAAATAATTGATAAAATTCAAATTATATTACGTAAGTACTACAAAACACAGAAATTATATTATAGTTAATATAAAATTTTCTTATATTAATTTAAATAAAAATACAACACAATAAGCTTTCTTATTCAATAACTTTTTCTTCTATTTTTCGACAATTAAATTCCTTTTAAAAAAAGAAAAAATATTTTTTTTTATGTATTTAAATTACAAAAATAAAAAAAACCATTAACTAATTTTTTTCTTTTTTTTTTTTTACATAGCAATTTCATGTAGGTTAATAAAATGTATTATTAACCTTTTTGAGAATAAACGGTAATAGTTGTGTGGAAAATATATAGTTATACATGCAAATTCTAGATGCAAAAAAAAAAAAAAAAAAAAAAAAAAAAAATTAATTTTTAATTTCATTGTTTCCTCTTTCTAATTTTTAAATACAAAAAAAAAAAAAAAAAATATATTTACTTTTTTTTTGAAATGATTAATTTTTCAGTTTAAATATTAATTTGTTTATTTCTTATTCCATAACTTTGCTATAGTATTGAGCAAACATATTAATAAAGTGATTTATTAACTTAGTGTTCGGTGACTTTGTTAGAGTATTGACTTATTAACTAGATGTCCGGTGACTTTGCTAGAGTACTGAACCAATAAATTAATAAAGAGCATGCGGAGTTACCTCTACGATTTTGATTTATTTATATATATTTTTATATGCTTTGAACGATTAATTATTAATTATGTAATCTACTTCATTCATCATTCTTTGATTTCAATAGGCATTTATTTACTTTACTAAAAATCCTTATTATTATTGAAAATTTAAATACTTATTGAATATTGATTATTAATTAAATGTAAATTATTTGTTTCTTTGTTATGAGTTATGTTCAGCAATTTATATATATTTCTTCTTAATTAATAAACATAAACAATTAGTAAAAATTCAAATAAATTATGTGAATATTAATAACGCAAATATTTTATTGTCATATGTATAAAATTTTCTCTCACAATTTCAAAATATACATATTACGCAAATTAAACTCTTTTATATAAACACTATTATCTGTCTAAGATCTCATTTTTACTGGTACTAAATCTTACTCTCGATTTTTATTTTACCAATTTTCCTTCTTTCATTAAATCTTTTTTAAAAAAATAAATATATTTCTTTTACGCATTTCCAATTTATTAAAAGAAAAATAAAAAAAAAAATCAATAATTTTTTTTTTTTTTTTTTTTTCGCTTGTGCACAACCAACTACGTATTCTTCATATAGCTAGTCCTTTGTATTACCAAAAATATTAATGAAGCCTTTTATTAACCAAATGCTGAACAAAATAGATAACATAATTAAGAATCACTTGATCAAAGTATTTAAAAATATATATAAATACGTCAAATCGTAGAGGTAACTCTACATGTTCTTTATTAATTTGTTTTTTTAATACTCTAGCAAAGTCACCAAACACCCAGTTAATAAATCAGCATCTTAGAATGCTACAAAAAGGTGAACACATAAATGCGTACACTTAAAAAAAAAAATTACTCTCTCTGAAAGTAAATATAATAAAAAAAAATATAGATATATTTTATTACATTTATTTTTAAAAATAATTCATTATCTCAAAAAAAAAAATTTTTTTTTTTTTAATGGAGATTATCTATAATATTTTTTTTTTTGAAGATTAAAAATGCAATCTAAAAACGTCATATGCATGGCATATTGAGTAAATTAATAGCATTAGTAATTAAATAACTCAATTATTATTTTATATTAATTAATGAAAGTGAATAATTTGTATTACATTTTAATTAAAAAAAAATAATATAAGTAAAATTTTCTCTATGCGTTCTATATTATTTTGATTTTTTAATATTACTAAAGCCATTGAACAAGCAATTAATAAATCAAGTAATAAATAGAAAAATTATTAAAGGAAATGTAGAATTTTCTCTGTAAATCTAATAAATTTAAATATAACTTTAATATTTTAAACCAATAAACTGTAAATTATGCGTTTTATTGATAATTTACATTCTTTATTAAAAATCCTATGTTTTATATAGAACATATATTTTCATTAATCATTAATTTATATTTAAAAAATATTCCATTATATAACTTTTGATGAATAATTTTCAGTTATTCGTGTTTACTTTTTTTTAAATGAGCAAAAAAAAATTTAAATTATATTAGTATCACTAACAACGAAATTTTCACTCTCAAAAATATATAATTTTCTCATGAAAATGTTTCTTTCTAAAAATTTTTTCTCTTTCTATAATTTTATTTTATTTTTTAAATAAAATGAAATGTATTTCCACAAAAAAAATTCAAAGCAAAATATTGATTTTTCTTAAACTATCACCTGCGCATGGATAATTGAGTATTTTTTTTTCAATTATTTATTTTTATTTTCTTAAGGATTATGAAAGTCTATTTTTAATGAATTTTTTAGTTTTTATTTTTTAATTTTTCTTTTTTATTTTATTTTTTCCTCTTCTTTATATTTACATAAAAATTTATCATAATGTAAGTGAAGATTTTTTAAAATTATACCAATTAACTTTTTTTTATCAGCTGTAATATTATTTTAGTAAATAAGTTAATATCGATCAATTATAGCCATAGATGAATTATTACACCTATAAATAGTCAACATATGATCTCTACATATACTACTAATTTTATTTTCTTGTATAGAAAGTAGTTCGCACATTAATAGATAAAAAGGAATAATCCACATACTATACATGTTCTTCAAACTGATCACCTTTTCATTTTTGT